TTTACAGGATCTTTATATGTGGCTCTGGCTGTCCTGGAATTCACTGTGTAAACCAGACTACCCTTGAACTGACAGAGATCCATCTGTCTATCTCTTCCTCCTGAGTGCTGGGATTAAAGATGTGCCAAACTCTGCCAGGTTTTCAACAGCTTCTTTGGAAGTAAGTGTAAACTGAAGTTCCCAGAACAAAGCCATGGATGTGTTGAAGGGTCTGCAAGTGTGAGACCAGGACTTGATTCCTAGAAGCCATGTTCTAGGCCCATGCTGGCCATGGTGGCATTTGCTTGTGATCTCAGCACTGGAGTGGCAGAGACAGAGGCTCCCTGTGGTTCACTGGCCAGCTAGCCTGGTCTCCCTGGTGAGTCTAGACCAATGGGAGACCCTACCTCAAGGTCAAGGGGGTGAGCAGTGTTCTAGAAGATGACACTTGAAGTTGTCCTCTGTCCTCCAGCTGCACACGTGTGTGTGCCCACACCACTTCCCCACCGGGCACATACACACTCACACATGTGTGCCCACACTACTTCCCCACTGGGCACATACATACTCACACATGTGTGCCCACACCACTTCCCCACTGGGCACATACACACTCACACATGTGTGCCCACACCACTTCCCCCACCGGGCACACACACACTCATACATGTGTGCCCACACCACTTCCCCCACCAGGTACACACACACTCACACATGTGTGCCCACACCACTTCCCCCACCGGGCACACACACACTCACACATGTGTGCCCACACCACTTCCCCCACCGGGCACACACACACACACACACACACTCACACGTGTGTTCACACCACTTCCCCACTGGGCACACACACACTCACACCTGTGTGCCCACACCACTTCCCCACTGGGCACACACACACTCACACATGCGTTAAAGAATGACATCATTGTTCATAACACAGAGGGATCTTGGGGGCTGGCATAGCAGCAGTAGCAGGACTCAGAGAAGAGCACAGGAAAACTGTAGACTAGGCCTGATGAGCTGGGATGGGGGAAAAGGCCAAGGGACAATTCTGTGAAGGGCTGGGACCCGGGAAAATCAAACCCTTTCCTGATTTTAAGCACTATCAACACATGAATTCCGTGGTGTGTCAAGGTTCTGTCACTTGCCAATATTATTTCATGTTCTTAATAGATTTGCAGAGGGGCTAAGAAAATGAGAAGAAATGGAAAACATTTTGAATAGCAAGAGGTAAGCTCTTCAGAGAATGTCTCCATGGATACTCTTTAGTTCTTGCCTTATTTTCTGAAGCCGCACATCCGTATCTCCCCTGTGCCTGTCCCAGTCATCCTCTGTAACAATCTGCCAGTACCCTTGAGAAACCAAGCTTAGAAGTGTCACTCACTGGATCTTCCGGTTCCTTAAAGATCCTTCCTCTAAGTCCATGTCACCTGGCTGGCAGTTCTAGTGAGTTCCCCAAAACTCCAGCCAAAATAGCAGTAGAATTTCAGGGTAAGGTTCAGAGTCTAATATTAAATTCTATCTAATCCATGTATCTACCACATGCTTGTCTATCATTCATGTATGTATGTATATATGTATATATATATACACATACGTATGTATGTATGTATGTATGTATGCATCTATCTATCTGTCTGTCTCTCTATCTATCTCTCTGTCATCTATTTACTTAGTATCTATCTAGCACAGTACAATTTGTGGAGTGGTAGCTCTCTGGTCCTGGTCCAAAGGTTCTAGGACTGTGTCTTCTATGTTGGTTCTTCTGGGTAATGTTTCTCCCAAATTAAAGACTAATTTTTTTTGATTTTGTCACTTGTCATACATACATAGTTATACATGTGCTTGTAACCCAAGGGTAGTCATTAATTCATAGAGAACGTATGATATAAAACTACATGGAAGAAAAGAGAGGTCAGTTTACTATGTAAGTAACATGAAGCCACTATGTGGCTTCCATAATTCTGGAAGTCATTCTGTTCAGGTTAAATGATTTTTCTCTCTTGTGCCATCCAGAATGTTGAGAATTCAGTGGCAGGTCTCTGATTCCCAGAAAACAGACTCTGAAGTACCCGTTCTGGCAAGGACTCTATTGAGTTCCTATCCAGGGACCTTTGTTCCTGCCGTCTCAGTCTCAAGGGAAAAGAGAAGCTGTGTCTCTCTTGAGGGTTACTTTTATAATGGGATTGGTTCATATTATAAATTGTTTGCTGTTTAGCTAATTCATATAGATAAAAGTGTTGCTTGCTTTTGTTTAGTGAGACCTACCTATCTGTCATAGTACGAGGCATTTCATACGTAAAATACAGCAATGTTTGTTTAGTGGAGCAACGGTTTGAAGTCTGTTTGATTACAAAGTTCACATCTATCATCAGCTACTGCTTTGGCAGTTTTAGGCATTTGATAAAATTTGGACTCTGTAATTTTCCTCTTTTATTACTGGTGAATAGATTTCTAGACTCTGGGACATTGTTCAGTTCACTTTTATTATTTAAGTTAATAATTGCCTGCTGATGTTAGCTTACTGTCTTGGTTAGAACTCTGGAATAAAGGTTAAATTTCTCATCTTCAGATGAGTATATACAGTTACTTTAATATTGAAGTATTAAATACAATTTTCCTAACCACTCAGGTTTCAGCTTATTCCTTCCCTCTCCTAATTTGACAAACTGGATTCAGGCTCTTTGTGCCACAAGCCTCCTGTGCCTTTCCTTCACAGTCCTGCTCTCACGCTCACACTTGACATGCTCAGTGGTACCCCTACTGCATCCAGTGATTTCTCTTGGCAGAATGTTGTATGCAGAATTTAGATGGAACCACGGGAATTCTGCAACACTGACAAACAACACAAACTATGTGTTTATTGAAGGCCACAGCAAGAAACTGGACAGATACATCTGAGCTGCCTGGAAGCAAGGTCAGCATCATGGGCTGTTCTTCCAGGGGAAAGGTCAGAGTGTGGAAGACTCGGAATGAGATGCACAAGCACTAAATATCACATACATCTTATTTAATACTAATGAAATATAAAATGAGCAGTTATAGCTAGTACACTTTTTGTATCCTATGAATGTTAAAAAACAAAGCACAGCTACTAAAACATATAAGAAGGCTGTCTATGGATGTAAGTAATTCGAGAAATCCACGGAGTCTGCTTAAAGGGTGAAGGAATTTATCAGGGAGGAAAACTCACTACAGCATGGGAGATTTATTGTAGGGTCCTGGAAAGCTGAAGTACAGTCCAACGCTGTTCTGCTGCTGAGTTGGTCTGCACCATCCAGCCCACAAGTGAGAGAGAAGATAGCCTAGCTGTGTCTCAGGTCTTAAGGGTAGCCCCAAGCCACGCCCCTGGGGTGGGTACTTTAAGGTCATAGGTAGGTAGGACAGTTACCTGTTACATCTCTAGGGGCAGTGTTTCAAGACCTTAGACAGAGTAGCCATCCACTATATGTAAGCCTTGTGTCCAGGTCTCTTCCATGCCTACAAGCTTAATTGGTATTGAAAATTCTCTTCAATATTTAAAATCTGTCTTTCAGTCCAAAATAAGTCCACTTTTAAATTCTGGCTTTTCTAAATTTTTTTTGCATTTTGTGATTAACTACCTGTGTGTGCATGCATTTGTTATCAGTTTTTCTCATGAGACTGAAAGCTTTATGAAGGTAAGGACCATGTCTGCTTTGTTCAAATCATACACAGGATGCCCACATAACAACAGAGCCTGGCCTTGAGTCGTTATACAAGCTATTTATTGATTGTGGAATGAGTGGGGTCAGATGACCCATCTTTAGTGAGAGGCCAGATTTGGCCTCTGCAGCAAGACTGGGAATGGTGTTTAAAAGTCTCTAATCGCTGAAGACACTACACACCGGTGGCAGGACACAGAGAAATCATGCTGGAATTGGGCTGGATGTTTCCTCCTTGCTGGCTAGCTTTCACAGTGTGGGAAGTGCTTTACATGCGTCTAGGGGAGAAAAGTCACCGACAGCCATACTCAGTTGTAGACCCTGAGTGTTACATTACTGACTTTCTGTGCCCGTATGTGTGCATCAGTGGCTGTGAGGAGGTGGCCGGCTGCTTTCTGATTGGATTGACACTCACTCCAAAGGAGGCATTTCATGTGTGGTGTGTAAAGTAAAGCTGCTGGAAGTCAGTGGCTGTGGTGATTGTATCACCTGCTGGGGAAGCTCCTACTGTTTTGTTAAGCAGACATTTTTTGCTTGTCAGATGCCTTCTCAATAGCTATCTTTATGCCTATGTATAGAGTAGTCTCTATACACTAGAGAGCTCTTCAGTCCATGGTGCTGGCTGCTGTCCATCCTTTATGCTTGTGATAGTCAGTTTTCCATCACTCTCACAATCAGATAAGGTGAGAACTTTTTTAAAAGGGGAAAGTTTGGTGGATGTGTTAGTGCACGTGAATAATCCAAGTTCTCAAGAGGACGAGGAAGGAGGTGTGAGAATCGGAGGCTACCTTGTGGTGTAGAGTAATATCCTAGGTGCAAGGAGGGTTGAGAGAAAGGTTTATTTTGCTCATCATTTTGGGAGTTAATTGGCCTATTCCTTTCGGGCCTATGGTGGTTGTACATAGTGGAAGAAACCTTTCATGGTAAAAACTTAAACAGGGAAAGGAAAAGCCAGGCACACTCCCGTCCATTCAAGGCCATACTCTTACTGACCTGAGACCTCTCCCTCTTACTATGTCTCATCTCTTGATGAGACTGTTACCTCCCAACAGTGTCATGGGCAGGGGGCATCAAGCCTCTAACACATGCTCTGGTGGGAGACACTTTCCCACGGTTGCATTGTCTGCTCATGTGACTAGGCCTGTCTTGCTGCTGACGGTAGTGAAGTGTTGCTTCCTGGCCTCTGTTATTTCAGACTGGCATCATCCCAGAAGCCTGGAGACTCTTTATTTATGCAGCATTTCCTTACTTGTGTCTGGCTTATTCCAGACACAGCTGAGCTTCTTGGTGAGGCCAGTGCCCTCACCCCTGCCTTTGTGGCCTCCAAGTCATGACATAGTTCTTATTGTCTTGGTGACAGAGCTGTCCCCTTTCAAGTCACCCAAGGAGTTTAGTCATGTGTTGGGCTTCAGTTCTTCTTACAGACGTTACGCTGTGTCTGCTTCTCAGAGCCTCTTGACCTCTTCCTTGGTCCTGTCAAAGCATCTTTCCTTTCAGCAGCACTGCTTTCAGGCTACTGTTTCTTGTTTTTTTGTGTGTCGTCCCCCCCCCCCCCCCGAGACAGGATTTCTCTGTGTAGTGCCTGTCCTGGATCTCACTCTGTAGACCAGGCTGGCCTTGAACTCACAGAGATCTGCCTGGCTCTGCTTCCTGAGTGTTGGGATTAAAGGCATGTGCCACCACTACCCAGCCCCCAGGCTAGTGTTTTTATCTCAAACTCCAGGGAGCTATCTTAGTAGGATGGAAGTGACATTAGATTTTAGGGAATTAAGTCTTCAGTTACAGGTTCGTGTTCCTAGTTCCACAACCTCTCCCTTACATTATGCTTTCCTGGCCTAGTGTGCTCATCACTGACTTCATTTGTTTTTTTTTTTTTTTAAGGCCTTACAGATATTTATAAGCCACGTCTATGTTATTTTCTTTTGCGAATTATTTTCCTAGTTGAGGCAAGACTTGACATTTGGCTTTATTCAGTGACCTAGAAACCATGAGGGGATGTTGGGGTGTTCCCCAAGGAAAGCAAACATGTCCAAAGAGTCATTTACCTTAGGATGGCTCCTCGTGGTCTCTAGGCCAGGAGAGACTGGAACCCCATAACAAGGGGGATAGAATCATTGTATTTTTTATTGGTATATATTGTTTGCACAAAATAATGCTTTTTATTGTGATATTTTCATGCATGTATACAAAGTACCTTAACCATATTCACCTCCCCTCATCACTGTTCTTGTCCCTCTGCCTTCTGATGATCACTCCCTCCCCAAATAGTCTACTTCCATGTCCTTTTTAAAGATTTATTTTTATTATTTTAAATTATGTGTATGTGTGTATCTCTGTGTGGGTATGTGCATGTGAGTGCAGATGTCCATGGAAGCCAGAGGCAACTAATCTCCTGAACCTGGAGTTATAGGCAGTTGTAGGCCATGTTTTGTGGATGCTAGGAACTGAACTTGGGTCCTCTGCAAGAACCCTATCATGTTAAAAAAAAATTTTTTTAAGTCATATGCCTATGAGAGAAAACATGGCATTGGTTTTTCTGTGCCAGACTTATTTTCCTTAGTATGATGATTTCTAATTTATCCATTTCCTCGAAATAACACAATTTCATTCTTAGCCAACAGGAACTTCATTGGGTAAATGCATATATTTTATTTATTTATCCATCCATGATAGATGTATAGGTTGATTCTGTAGCTCAGTTGTTGTGAATAGTGCATATGGTGGTTTGAATGTTAACGGCCTCCATAGCCTCATGGTTTTGAATGTTTGGTTGCCAGTTATTGGTAAGGATTAGGAGGTGTGGCCTTGTTGGATAAGGTGTGTCACTGTGAGCCTTGAAGTTTCAAAAGCCCAAGCCAGTCCAGTGTCTCTCCCTGCCTGCTGCCCGTAGATTAGGATGTAAAGCTGATGTTCCCGTGCCATGCCTGTCTGCTTCCTGCCATGATGATCACGGACTAGCCTGAAACTGTAAGCAAGCCCCCAACTGTGGGAGCCCACAACTGACTCAGTTTCCCATTTGAATCTGAAGTCTATTCTGAGTCAATAGAGTTCAAGCTTGTTTGCTCTTCTGGTTCAGCCTGACATAGACAGATTCCCTTTTTCCCTTTCCTATCATTATTCTAATCTTACACCTTCTCTTGCTTTTCAGACAACATGCAATTTCCACCAAAGGTCTTTTTCTTGTGGTTTCTTCCCAGCAATTTAGAACATTGCATAGGCATAACATTTCAAACAAGAATAGAAACATATAGATATATGCATATATCATAACAAAAACTTATTTTTGCATTAATATATTAAAAACCTGTATCAATGTGAAACATTTCAGATTAGCAGAAGTTTTTCTTATCTTAATCAATAATAGTTTGTAATCAATTCTCTTAAATGATGACAAGTATTTGTAACCCATTGAACTCAAATGACCAGAATCCATGTATTTTTTCTTTTCCTGTGGAGGCAAAAGCATAATTTTTTCCAAAACATCAGAGTATGTAGGCTGGTAATTCAACATTTTTTCTCAAGCAGTATCAGGACAGAGAAGGGTTAAGGTGGGTTAAAGTTGGAAGTTGCTGGCCAGCAGAAGAGACCTTGATGTTATCACAGTGAAGAACTTGGCTTAGAAAGGAAAGGAGGTACAGAGTGTGTCCTTGGCTGCCGTGTTCCTGAAAAAATTTTTGTTAACTTTTCTGACTATGGTAATTAACAATTAACATCAGATTCTCTTTTCGACGTCTGTTCAGCTTGCCAATAGTAGGAACGAACTCCCTGCCACTTCATCTGCACTGCAGGCCTGATAGTAAGGGAGCTTATGGAGGGAGGCGGCCCTTGCCATGCCTCTCTCTCCTTCTCTTCCAGGAAAACGAAGCAGATCAGTAGACAGAAATGAGTAACACTGACAGACACAGGTACTGGTACATCAGCACTGAGACAATGGCCTCACTTGCTGTTAACGAGTCCCGTTAACAGATGACTTCTCGTGCAGTACTTAAGCCACACCTGGCAGGAGCTACCTGCTTATCTCAGTTCAGTGGGGGCGGGATCCAGTCCCCTTAAACACATGGAACAGAACAGTAACATAGTAGCAGTCAGAACACAGACCAAGACAAAGAGTGCTCACATTTACATTTACCAGCTGCAGTGAATAGATCTAAAAATGAGACATTGGGCTAATGGTTTGCGGGCACGACCCACTTATTCTCTCCAGATGAACCAGTCACAGTCAGGAATGAAGGTG